AGGAGGGTAGGGTGTGTGCTTGTAGATGTAACCAAGCATCTTATTAAATAAAATACCACCATATGTGCTTCATGACAAGGTACCTCTTCTAATTAGTAAGCCCCCACCCCAGGAATTTACAAGTATGTGTGCCCATTGACTCTGTAGACCATTTCAAGAATTTACAATAGTTACAAGGATGCACTTTGGGCTATCATGAAGAGTTTTGGGAAAAAAGCCAAAAGTTTACAGTTTCTTGATAGACAAAAATACTTGGAAGTTACTAGAAATAATATTTCTAGAAGGATTCACGTGTTACATATCCATGAGAAAATTAGTCATTTTTATTATGTATTTTATATATAGAACACACACACACACACACACACACACACACACACACACACACACACACACACACACAAGATTCTAGAAATGCAACTGAGTATCAAAAACATTCAGAAAAAAATTGCATCTTCATTGGACATGTATACTTTTTCTTATCTTTCCTGGAACAATAAAATACAACAGATATTTAAATAGCATTTATGTTATATTGGGCTTTATGGGTAATCTAGAGATGATTTAAATACATAGGATGTATTTAGTCCATTTTTAAACATTACACCATTTTACATAAAGGATTTGAACATCCAAAGCTTTGGTATTTGCAGGGAGTCTTGGACTCAATCTGTTATCATTAGCTTCAGCTGTCAACTGGACGTAGACTTAATCACCTGCACTCAGAACCTCAGCTGAAGAATTGCCCAGACTAGATTGTCTCTGGCCGTGTTTTTGAGGCCTTTTCTTAACCGTTAATTGGTGTAGGAGGGCCCAGGCCACTGTGGTCAGTGTCATTCCTAGGAAGAGGGGCCTTTGCTGTGGATGAAAACAAGCCAGAAGGAACGAGCAGTGATCTTCCACCAGTATCTGCTTCAAACTTTTGCCTTGAGTTCCTGCCTTGACATTTCTCAAAGTCAGACTGTAAACCCTAAGATGAAATAAACCCTCCTCCCCAAACTGCTTTTGTTCATAGCGTTTATCACAATAACAGAAAGAAAACTAGGGCACAATCTCTCCTGTGTATCAGGGGAAAAGAACATAGGTAATATATGTGATTTAATATGAATCCCATATTTAATCTCAACTTTTCTCGAGAGGAGTGTTCTCCAATAGATGGAAAAATGGGTACTGCTAATACGTCTGTGCAATTGCACTTTCTGAAATGTCTGAAAATTTTAAATCATTTTAAACATAAAAATTCTAGTCTATCAAAATAAGTTTTCTCACGAAGACAAGAAGAGAAAATTTACAAAATCAGAGGCATAGAGTTAGTAAACTGTAATGACAGAATACTGGGGAATATTTAAGGATATTCACAAATAAACATACACAGATAAGCAGCAACCAAGCTTTCATTCTCGTCTGAGTTCTAAACAAAGTAAGGAACCAAAGAGTAAGCAAATGGAAGCAAAATATTATTTTCACTGTGGATAAGGCTGATGTTTGAGTGGGTGTGGTTTGTATTTATGTGTTTGTGGACCTATTATTAAGACACATCTGTGTAGGGAGCATTACCACAGTGGCAGATAGCCTTGGTCCTGAAGGTCCAACCCCTAAGAGGGAGGCCTTTACAGTTGTGTTGACTGCTTGAGTGAATGTGGTTTGTATCTGTATGTTTATGGACATATCAGTGTAGAGAGTTACCATAGTCTTGGTCCTGAAGGTCCAGCTCCTAAGAGGGAGGCCTTTATGGTTGGTTGTATTGACTGCTTAGCTGATGACAGGGGAGGAAGTATGTTCCCTCCTATGAGTCAACTGGCAAATGGAGAGACCAAGGGCAGGGCAATAGATGGGAAGAAAGCTCTTAAGATTTCTTTCTTAGTGGATAAGAAGTGGGCAAAAGGGTTAGGAGAGATTTTGCTGCTAAATTTCAGTCTCAGCAAACAATTTGTCCCAGTTTGGTTTCTATAGCTGTAATAAACACATGACTAAAAGCAACTTGAGGAAGAAAGGGTTTATTTCAGCTTACATTTTATAATCCATCATTGAGAGTAGCAGGTCAAGAACTCAAGGTAGGAACTAGAGGCAGAGCCCATAGAAGAATGCTGCTTAATGTCTTACCCCACCTCCATAGGATGCTCAGCCTGCTTTCTTATACATCCCAAGACCAGACAGCAGGAGTGGCAGTGCTTATACTAGGCTTGGTCCTTCTACACCAATCATTAATCAAGACAGTACCTCCACAGAACTGACTACAGGCCAATTTCATGTGGCATTTCCTTAATTAAGGTCCTATCACCTGAGATAACCCTGGCTTGTATCAAGTTGACAAAAATCTAACCAGCACTCAACATCAGATGTCAGAAGAAAATTCCCATCTTCTACCTGTACCTTCATTCTCCATTAAGATTTTTGGTGGAGAGTGTATCTGGCTTTCAGATGTATTTCACAGAGTAAATGAGGCCATGATCTGGCCACAACCTGATCTTGGCTAAGATAAAATGATTGAAAAGTGCAGAGGTCTCTTCTGTTTAAGATATTACTTATGATTTCTTTGAGTGATGCTATAGGCATTAAACTATAACGTTTAGGCTCCTTGAAATAAACAGTGTTGTCCCCAAAATGTGATCTAATGATACATAAAATGCTGCCAAGGGAGCAGACAATAGACCCAAATGTTATAGCATAAGCTGTAAAATTTATGCTAGAAAATAGAGTGGAAAAATTTTGTGAACTCGAGTTAGGCAAAGATTTCACAAATGGAATGAAAAAGCATAGCCCCGAACAACAACAACAACAGAAAGAAAATTGGATTTCACTAAAATTAAATTGCTCACTTTCCAAACATTCCATAAGAAAATATATAAAAAGCAAGACCAAGACGGGGAGACAATTTCTCAGAAGGTGGTCCTGTGTCTTACTATTTTTCAGTTGCTGTGACAAAAGCCCACGACCAAGGCAGCTTATAGAGGACAGGATATATGGGGCTTATAACTATAAGCAGAAGGTTCAAGTCCATGACCACCATTCAGGGAACGTGGCAGCAAGCAGTAAGGCACTGGAGCAGTATTCGATAGTTCACACACCCTTATCTGAAAGTAGGAGACAGACAGAGACAGAGAGAGAACTGGGAATGGCATTGTACTGGCTGGTTTTGTGTGTCAACTTGACACAAGCTAGAGTCATCAGAGAGGAAGGAGCCTCAGTTGAAGATAGTGCCTCCAATGAAATCCAGCTGTAAGGCATTTTCTCAATTAGTGATCAATGAAGAAGGGCCCAGCCCATTTTGGGTGGGGTCATTCCTGGGCTGGTAGTCCTGGGTTCTATAAACAATCAAGCTGAATAAGCTGTGAGAAGCAAGCCAGTAAGCAGCGCCCCTCAATGGTCTCCGCACCAGCACCTGCTTCTAGGACCCTGCCCTGTTTGAGTCCCTGTCCTGACTTCCTTCAGTGATGAACAGCAATGTGTAAGTGTAAGCCAAATAAACTCTTTCCTTGCCTACGTGTTTTTGGTCATGGCATTTTGTCGAGGCAAAACTAACCCTAAGACAGGTATGCACTTTTGAAACCCCAAATTCTACCCCAGTGACACAATATTCCTCCAACAAGGCCACAGATCCTTAATTCTTCCCAAACAGTTCCACCAACTGAGGACCAAGTATTCCAACATATGAACCTATGAGGGCCATTCTCATTAAAACACATATTTGATAAAAAAAAGAAAGACATATTCCAAACAAAGAATCTATATGTTTATCCCCTTTGGTACCTTTTTACTTTGCTGGAGCTGGGGGTGGGGTGGGGGCATAACACAGGAAGAGTTAGTTGGAGGGGAGAGAAGGTGTGTACAGTGCTCCTGTATACAATTCTCAAAAAAAAAAATCCTTACAACTTTTTATTCTGTGTGTGTGTGTGTGTGTGTGTGTGTGTGTGTGTTTTATTAACAAGGTTTCACTATGTAGACCAGGCTGACCTTGAATGCACAGAGATTTACTTATCTCTTTGTCTCTCAGATGCTTGGATTAAATGTATGTACCACCACACCCAGCCCACAAATCATTATAACTCTCTAATTTTAAAATATTGGGGAAAAGATTTTGATCCTTCTCCACACAAGTACATTTGAACAAATAAGGATGTCACTGTTGGTTTGTAGGAAAATGTAATTTTCCTTCCTCCCCTCCCCTCCCCTCCCCCCTCCCCTTCCCTCCCCTCC